TCGGTGCAGGGCTTTGGGGCTGTGGAACTGTCTGAAGTATGCAGTGTGTCAGTGTGGTTGACCACTCAAAATGTTTCTGGTGGGAGTGAACTCACTCATATATATACTCATATAGTTTGCTGAAGCCTCCAAACTGTAGTGCAGCGATTATCACAAACTTCGTTGTAGTGGATCAGTCTGATACATGCAGAATGTGCCTGTGCTGACTCTTGGCCCGCTGTGGCACTGCCTGCAGCTCTGGCTTGGGGAAAAGTGGAGATCTAGAGGAAAAAATACCCTGGTGGACTGCTAGTGTCTGCCTCCAGGGCTGACAACTGGATTTAAGGTAGGGCTTACTTAGATTATCGCTTTGGGGGATAATTGTAGGCAAAAATGCTGCCATAATTATAAGAGACACATTCATAATTCATAATCCTAAAGTAATTACTTTTAAATTGAATTTATAGCTATATGGATTTGTAGCTGTTTTGGTATCATTGAAAGCAGCACGAGAAGTCAGTTAAAAATGTTTTGTATGAGCTTTAGAACAACTGAAGGTAGGTGTTTCCTCTTTCTAGCCGACACCAAGCAATGGGCATCTCTCGGGACAACTGGTACAAGTGCCACAAGACCGGGGGCAAAAGAAAGCCCTATCACAAGAAGTGGAAGTAGAAGCTGGGGCGCCGTGCTGCCAACACTAAGATTGGCGCCCGCCGCATACACACAGTCCAAATTTGAGGAGGCAACAAGAAGTACTGAGCCCTGCAGCTAGATGTGGGAAAGTTCTCCTGGGGCTCTCAGTGCTGTACTCGAAAAACAAGGGTCATTGATGTTGTTTACAACACGTCCAGTAGCGAGCCAGTTCACACCAAGACACTGGTGAAGAACTGCACTGTGCTCATTGACAGCAAGCTGTAGCAGCAGTAGTACAAGTCCTACTGTGCACTGCCCCGAGCCGGAAAAGGGGGCCACGCTGACTCCTGAGGAGGAGGAGATTTTAAACAAAAAACAATCAAAGAAAATTCAAAAGAAGTATGATGAAAGGAAAAAGAACGCCCAAATCAGCAGTCTTCTGGAGGAGCAGCTCCAGCAGGGCAAGCCTCCTGCCTGCAGTGCATCACGCCCAGGCCAGTGTGGCCGAGCAGATGGCTGCGTGCTGGAGGGCAAAGAGCTGGAGCTCTAGCTGTGGAAAGGCAAATAAGCCTTCCCTCCTGGCGAACTCATGCAGTAAAGGTGTTTATTCTATGAAAAAAAGAACAACTGAAGGTAGGCAATCATAGACACTTTAGCATTGTTTGATGTATAATTATCCCGGGTGTTGATTTAAGAATGAGTGTGAATTACAGTAGCAACATAGCTATATGTGCATTGCTTAACTATTTTAAACTGAGTAACTGTGGTACTTTCTGGCAGTTTACCTAATCTACCAATATATTAAGAAGCATGTTTGAGCCCTCCTCCCTGAAAGAATCCAGCCCTTTCCTGGGCGTTATGACTGCAAGCAAGCTTCCCAGCACAGTGGGCATGCAGCTGCAGCAGGAAGGCTAGCCTGGAGGAGAGAAGGCTGTCGGAGACTTAGCGGGCTGTGCACTCAGCCACCCGTCCAGAGTAAGCTACAGTGTTCAAGGGCTGAAGGAGACACAGTGACACACTGCTGATAAGTGATACTCTTCCCCTTCAGGAGGTTAGACAAGTGGGGGAGATACAATCAAAATAATTATGTAGCAGTGTCAAGGAATTAAAAGGGTACAAATAACTCCCGGTGGGAAGTTACATAATGCTAAAAGTATTTTATATATAGAAACCCATTTGTAGTTGTTTCTACAACAATTTGATGGAAAAACTTGCACGTTAGCTACTGAACAGCATTCAGTTTTCCCCACATTCACTAAGTTCGTTATTTTGACAGATAAGTCTATGTAGAGGCTTGGCTGAGCTGTACTTGTACACAACCTGTGTGTCTTGCCACAGTCCAGAGGTTTGTGTGGAAATAAATTTCTCTAGGTATCTTTTAACCTTCTTCCCACAGTAGTAAGATTTTTGTATTCTGTGTTCTTAAGTAATTCATTCAGAATTTGGGGGCTCAGAAGAAATTTCCCATTAGGATACTGGTATATACCTTTATATATTAGTGTTGGATTTTAAATTTATTTTAGAATCCTTCTCAGTCCTTGGTTTTGGTGTAGTACCTCAAACCTACAGCATCCTCTGTTCAGTGGGCCGTTGAAATTAGCCATCCTCGTCTGGATCCCATGTCTTAGAGGCAGGAAGGTGGAGTGTGCAAGAAGACAGGTGTGGAAGTATCAATTTCTTGGGCCCTGGCTTGGGTGCAGCTTTAACCTGGGCCAAGTTTCTCCTCCCCTTTCCCTTTCCTAGCACTCAGTTACTCTTGTTGTCATGCTACCTCCTACCTACAGAGCGGCTTCACTGCACATTTGCTTTTTTCTTTTGACTTTTGATAGAGGGGTCTCACTTTGTAGTTAAAGTTATCCTTAAACCCACCAGGTCACCCCAGCTGGCCTCGAACTCATAGCACTCTCCCTGCCTTAGCCTCCTGGGTGCAAGAGTTACAAGCATGCACCACCACATCCAGCTCTCTTTGGATGTCTCTTCCATAGCAAATATTTTCTTAATCATATTTCTGTTGAGATGTGAGGGTTATTTGATGGATGCACACTGAAAATTGAACAGTGCCCATTGTCTGACTTCCATTGATGTGTCTATACTTTGAAGGCATTGTTAACCCAAACAATTTTCTAATGGTAAAATTTCAGCAATATAATATAGAGATAAAAATTCTGGAGCAATGATACTATTTTCTTTCTATTTTATTTTGTAAAAGGATTAGACTGAGTCGTGTGTATAATGAAGTTTGAATGAAAATGAGCGTAGTATTTGATTTATGGTTTTGACATGGAGACATCATGGATGGGCTGAGTGGTATCCCCACCTTCCGCATACTGGAGCCCTCGCCCCACATGGGAGGTATTGGGGGTGTCCACTTACACCAGAGCCTGGCCACACATGATTCAGGCCGCCTGCTCTGGACTTGTCCTGTAGAACTGCTTGCATGCTCAGCTGCTTTTGGTTTCCTGTTAATGTCCTTAAGGAAAAAAAGCCCATCACCATTAGGCAGAATGTGTGCCATGTTTAAATAACATTTACTTCCATCATTTTGTGACCGTATGTTTTGTGGAACCCTGAAAAATACCTTTGGCAATATCCATCCTTTTAGAAGGTTATAATGCATTTCCCAGAGTTTTTGTTTATAGACTGCTTTTCAACCTGTTTAATTGATAATGAGAACTGAGGCAAGTAATTACTGTAAAATCTTACTTAGGTGAATGCACAATAACCTGCAAACTTATTTAGGATTCAATAAGAAGAGAACATTTATCCCAGCTTTTTTTATCTTACTGTTTTAATTTGATATGTTCCCTTTCTAGCTGTTTGTATTTTAAAAGACAAATGCAGAGTGTGCAACTATGAATTATAATGGTGTAATTACTTTTAATCTTAGATCCTAAAGATAAAAAGTAATTCCTATTCATCTCCCACTGTAGGTATTAGAAGTTGGGTGTTCAGGGTCTCGCTACATAGATAGGACTTGTAGTGACCCTCCTGTTTTCAGCTTCCCAAGTGCTGGGATTATCGGCAGGCACCACCTTGCCCAGTCTCAATCACTGTCTCAGCAGGCCCCAGGGGTGGGGCTGGCACAGTGCGCTGGGATCAAGTCCTGGCTGCTGCGCTCTGCCTAAGCAGGCACTTTAGTCCGCTGAGCTATCTGGCTGGCCCTAAAATGTACTTGGTACAGGGTCTCACTATGCAGGAGGACTTGTAGTGATCCTCCTGTTTTCAGGCTCCTCAGCGCTGGGATTACAGGCGTGTAGCACCACGCCAGACTCAGTGGCCAGCTCAGTGCTCCTGGGGGTGGGGGCAGCATGGCATGTGGTGCCAGGGACCAAAGCCCAGTCAGTGGGCTTGCCTAACAGGCACTCAGTCCACTGAGCTATCTCCCACCCAAGTGTTAGAAGTTCTGAGCATTAAAAAAAGAATTCATTGAGAGCAGTCGGAAGTGATACATAAATGACAGATGATCTTTCTTTCAAAGAAGTGAGTTTAACTAGACTTTAGAATAAAATGTGAATTACCTAATACCTTGTGCACAGCCGCCTAGCCCACCTGCTCTGTTCCATCTGCAGCCGCGGACACCAGTGTACAGCAGGGTAGGACAGTGACACTCTGCAGAGCCTGGAGGAGGTGGGCGTCTGTGTGGTTAGAGCATCCAGAGCTATCCAGTCTGCAGGCTTACAGGCGAGGAATGTTGGGTCTGTGGCCAGAACCCACCTTAACATCTTTATGGGCTCCTCTTGCAAATAGCAGCCAGCTTGAGCTCAGGAAAATACTTAACCATGGTGCCTCTGCATTTTTTTCACTTAGCTGGAACTCTTGGTTTTGAAAACAGTAGACACTTTGCTGCCAGACTCTCTAAAACTTAGTTGTACATAAGTTCATTGTACTATCCAATAGATTTGAGGTGGAAATGAGAACATAATCAGTAATCATTTGTAGATGAATCCAAAGCTTTGTACTGGACACTGTTTCCTGCAGAAACGCAAAGCCCAAGGCTGAGGCACTTGGGCCTCTGACACAGCACTGCCTTCTCTGAGGAGCTGGCTGTTATCGTAGGGTCTAAGAATTTAAGGTTGAGTAATGAGTAAGGAACAGGCATACACTTACTTGCATTATCAGATGGATTAATGTGATACTATTCAAATTGTAACCAAATAGGCAAAATAATTTCTGACCATTGGGTTAAATGAGTCAGTTGGGACAATTTGTAGGTTAAAGTCAGCATTCTAAATAGATCTTAAAGCACCAGGCATATGTAATATTTTCTTAAAGGGCCTATAGTTTCCTATTAACCATTTGCATAAATATGTATAATCTTAAATTTTTGTTTTATTTAATCTGCAATCAAGCCAGCTAGGTTCTATATAACTTTTGGTCTTGGGTTTTAGATGTTAAAAACAGACCAACAAGGCACGACATTTCAGCCAGCTCACAAGAAGGCGTTGAGGACCTCGTCGGACGTCATGAGGAGTCAGAAAAAAGGGGGGAAAGCCAGCAGGTCAGTGTGTAAAAATATGTCGCACTTTCAAATGCTGCTACATGAAATGTTCTACTGTGAGTTAATGAAGCAACTAGTCTAGTCCACTGTGTTTATTTTTAAATACAAGTGAATGCTAGAAAAGCCTGACTGTAAATGGAGAGTGTTGATGTCCTTGAGGACAGAGTTAGTATTGAACTCTCACGTCGCCTGTGCATCTCTGGCTCGTGAACCATCCACACCTCACAACAGCATTTGTTGCCTTTCACATCTGAATAAATATGTAGTAGATAGGAATGTGAACTAGTAAATCTTTGATTTCCGACCCGGGCATGGCTTATCCTACAACAGTCACGCCAAGCAACTCTGCAGCCCTCTTTTAAATTGTTTATTTTGAGACAGGATCTCACAAAGTTGCTGGACTGTTCATACTGGGCTCCAGCTCGGGATGCTCCTGTCCCAGCCCTGCCAGCTGCTGCGATTGCACCCTGGACCATATGCATGGCTCTGACGATCCTTTATTCTTTCATGGTAAACTTGAAGCAGCACACGTAGGTAGCGTCCTGTCCTGACAGCCCTGTAGGGCATGCTGGCTGAGAGCCTTCATCCTGAACTCTGTGCAGCATCAAGCAAAGCAGTGGGAGGTTGGAAGGTCAGAGGGACAGGAGAGCCTGGAGCCTGGGCGCTCAGCGGCTCAGTGGGAGCAGGCACCAGCACCTGCCCAGGGAGACACTGCCAGCGGCAAGTTCTGTGCAC